AAACAAAACAAAACAAAAAAACCATTTTACTTAACAGTGAAATATAAGGGAAAGGAAAGATGGGGGATGGAAGAATTAGAAAGAGGGTGGATTTAAGGGAAGGATTAGTCCTAAACAAAACAAACTCTAAGGATGAACAAAAAAAAAAAAATCCAGAAGCTCTTTTTGAGGTAGCAAAGAATAGGAATCTGAGTGGGTGTCAATAAACTAGGGGATGGCTGAACAATTAAGTTACATAAATGTGATGGAATACTATTGTGCTGTAAGAAATCGTGGAGTGGGGTGCTTTCATTCTCTGGTTTCAGGGAAATCTTAGAAAACTTGCATGAACTGAGACAAAGTGAAGTGAACAGTACCAAGAGAACAATTACTACTTTGATAACAGTATTGTAAGGACAAATAAATCTGAAAGACTTAGGAAACTCTGATCAGTGTAATCAATAATTATGATTCCAGAAATATACTACTCACTTCCTGCTCAAAGTAAAAAGACATTTTTCTTTTTACATAGCCAAACTGGAAATTTATTTTGTTTGACTGCATTTTTTTTCTTACATAGACAAATTGGAAATTTGTTTTGTTTGACTACGCATGTCTGTAACTGGGATTTTTTTTTATTTTCAATGGGTGAAGAGGAGTTGAGGTGGGAGGGTGAGAAAAGGGATTTTTGCTGTTTGACAGATACATAGTTGTTTAAAAAAATAATTCCACAGACAGTGACAATAAAGGAGCTATGGAAAGTTGAGGTTAGGAGATGCCCACAGTCAAATACAGAGGCAAGCAGAGATAACCATTCACTTTCAATAACTTCTGAATTCACCTAACTGTAATATCTATTTAGCTCACACCATACACTTTGTCTATAAGGATACCATGAAAGACTTAATAAATGCTTTATTAAATTCAGGTTAATTAATTGCCCTCATTTACCAGTCTATTATTAATGCTGAGAAAAAAAAGGAAAAAGAAAAGGAAAAAGCTGAAGGCAGCTAGGTGGATAGAACACTGGATTTAAGAGTCCAGAAATTCTGAGTTCAAATGTGGACTCAGACATTTACTACCTGTATGACCCTGGGCAAGTCACTTAACCTCTGCTTGCCTCAGTTTCCTCATCTGTAAAATGGGGATGCTAATAGCACCTACCTCCAAGGTAAAGGAGTTTGTTTTGTTTTGTTTAGGGCTAATCCCTCCCTTAAATCCACCCTCTTTCTAATTCTTCCAGCCCCCATCTTTCCTTTCCCTTATATTTCACTGTTAAGTTGTAAGGATAAAATGAGATATTTGTAAAGCTCTCTGCAAACCTTAAAGTGCTATAAAAATGCTAGCTGCTATCATCATCATCGTTACCACCATTAGCATTCACATCTGCCAATCCTTTCAGTACCTGAAGATGTTGATTTGAAATCATAAGCTCCTCCAAAGGCTGAAATTATCTCAATTTTGCATGTGTAAACTCAGTGTCTAGCACAAAGTAGAGATTGATTTTTGGTTTTCAATTGATTACTAGAGCTAGTTAACCTCTTATTACATCCCAACTTATCTGGATAATCAACTTCTTATAAGCCAAAATTTTTGTTCTGTCCAAACCACTACCAGTATCAATAGAAATAGGGAAGCTGGACAAACGGGGTTTTTATTTGTTATAGTTGTTCTTTTGGGGTGAGAGAGATGATTAGTTCAGTTCTAGACATGTTGAATTTGAGGTGATGGTAACTACATCCATCTCTACATGGAGATGTCCCATATGCAGACAGTTGGAAATTTGGCCATGGAGTTTAGGAAAAAAAGTCAGGCTCAGTGAGACTTGAGAATCATTGCATCGAGGTAATAATGAGGTCATGGAAATATTCATTTGCCGTGCCTCCCCCCTACCCCCCAGTCCTGTATGTCAAGAAGGAAAAATATCACTACTTATCTTATACGGGGAAACTGAGGCTCATGGAAATTATGACTTGTGCAATGTTATATAGCAATTAAGTAGCAGGCCTAGCATTTAGTCTTCTAAATTCTAATACAATGTTGTTTCCAATACAAACAAGGTAACCTTTTCCCTGGACATAACATTTATTCTTACCTCCATTCCTTTGCTTATGCCATGCCTTCGGTTTGAAATATCACCTACTCTTCTCTAGTCAAATCTTACCCATCCTCTAAGACCAAGGTTTAAGTGCCAAATCTCCCATAATACCTTTTCTGACTATTCCAGTCCACATTGGCCTTTTTGCTTCTGAACTCCTGAAACACTTACCGTGCACTTAAGTCATATACTTATTGTCTTGGGCTGTTATGTATCCTCTCAAAGGATAATGTATCCTAATATAAATGTATCCTTTCAGATCAACTATCAGCGTGCTTTCAGGAGAGCTACTCCCACATCACAAGCTGCCTATTAGATATTTCAATCTAGCTGACCTGGATACATTAAAAAAAAAACCAAAAACAAAAACAACTATTCCTTTTCCAAACAACCCTATAACTGTTGAGGGTTCCACAATACTGTTGAGGTAGCTTAAGTGGCACCATGGATAAAGTGCTAGACTTAGAGTCAGAAAGATCAGAGTTAAAATCTGATCCAGACGCTTGCTGTGTGACCCTGGACACTTAACCTTTATCTGCCTTAGTTCCCTTATCTCTGTAAAATAGAGATAATAATAGCACCAACCTCCCAGGGTTTTTGTGAGGGCAAAATGGGATACTATTCGTAAAGTATTTTGCAAACATTAAAGTTCTATATAAATGCTAGTTCTTGTTCTTTTTATTATTATTATACTTCTAATCTCCCAAGTTCACAAACTTAGCAGTCATTTTTTACTCCTTACTTCTATCTCCCCATCTCCTAACTATGTCCTTTTCTCTCCATTTACAAAGCTACCATACTAGGTTAGGCTCTCATTACTTCTGACTGATGATTACAATAGCCTAGTAATTGGTCTCCCTGCCTCCAAGTCTTTCCCCATTTCAATCTATCTTCCACAGTCACCACAGTGACCTTACTAAAGCATAAATCTGACCATGTCATCCTCCCATCCCAAATCAATTAAACAAACTCCAGTTGCTCCATATTATCACTGGGATCTCTTTGGCATTCAGTACTCTTCAAAACCTGGCCTCTTCCTATCTCTTTAGTCTTCTTACACATTAGTCCTGCTCCATGGTCCAGCCATACTGATCTACTTGTTTTCTTTCACACATGATTCTCAAATTTCCATCTCTGACTCTTGGCACTGTCCTCCATGCTTAGAATGATCTACTTCCTTACCTCTAACTCTTGGAATCCTTGGCTTCCTTCAAAATTCAGCTCAAGTGCTGATTTCTGCAGGAAGCCTTTCCTAGTTTCCCTCAGCTACTAGTTCCGTCCCATCCAAAACTACTTTGTGTCTAATTTATATATGTCTTTTACATATTTATATATGTATACACTGTCTCCTTCAAGAGAGTATAACCTTCTTGGGAGAAAGAACTGTTTCATTTTTGTCTTTGTATCTCTAAACCCTAGCACAGTGCCTGGCACACAACAGCATATAATAAATGTTTGTTGACTGAAGGCTCTATTATCTTTTGTATTTTCTCAGAGCATTTAGCAGAATATTAATGTATAGTAGGTGATGAATAAATATTTGGGATTGATCTACTCAATAAATGGTAAATGGGTATTCTACAGAAAATGTACAATATCAGGTGAGTAAAGTACAAAGACATTTGACAGAACCATTAGGAAAGGGGAAAATCAGGTCTGGGAGAATAGTAAAAAGGAGGAAAGGAGGTGTTTGAACTTCTAAATCTTTCATTTAACTGGGGAAGTTATGAAGCCATAAAATGTATGGAAGAAAAATTCAATCCCTTAATTTCACAAAGTGACTCACACAGGTAACATAGCTAGACAGAGGCAGATGGATCCCCTTACCCTTGGCCAGTGCTCTTTTCACTACATAAGCATCTTAAACCACCAAAAACTTTAATTGTTGCATGTTGAGGATAAGAGCTTTCTGGGTTAATCCTGGAGTGAGAAATACAGTAGGTAACATTTTAGAACTATACAGAACATCTGAGAGCAAGTATAGTGCTTCAAACATACATAGTAAGTCATACAGCAGCATCAGATCTATCAATGCCATGAAGTCTGAGAGTTTCAGAGGAAGTGACCTTAGGTAAATTATATCTTTAAGGAAACCCACACCACACCTCAACCAATTAGACAAGTCTAGGCTTGCATCCTCTTCTTTTTCATTGCTCTCCCTCTCAGCCAACTTGTCCTCCCTTAAAATGTAACGACAGGGTCTCTTTGGAGTCTTATCACTAGCTCTGCAGCATGGCCTTCTCCTTATGTGCGACCGGTCGCCACAGGGTTGTCGTAGGATCACAAGGTTTCAGAGTTAGAGGGGCCATGACAGATTGTCTAATCACAGGACCGAATCTGGAGCAGGAAGCAGGCCCGGAGAGGCGGAGGGCCCAGCTCAGGTCTAGGGCGTCTCGCGCTCCCCTTGGCCAGAGCACTAGCTCCACGTGGGAGCGACCACAAAAGCGCTTCCTACCACGTGGCTTCCTAGCGCCCAAACCCACCCAAACGGTGCCACCCGGCAGCGGTGCAACTCCGAGGTCTCAAACCCAGTGGTCGCCTCAGCAGCGAGAAGGGGAGGCCGCCGCCGACTCCTCTCATTGGACGATCCACTTAACGGACGGAACAAGCAGCCAATAGGACGGAAGAGCCTGCAGTTGGTCAAAGAACTCGAGGAAGGAGGAAAGGGCCCAGAAGACAGCGGCTCCTGGGGTTAAGGAAAGGAAGCGACGAGTGTGGGGCTCACGGTCCTGGGGACGAGAAGCGGCGGTGATGGCGTGTCAGGGGAAACGGGACTCACCTACAGACACGGCTCCCATAGCTTTCCCTCTAAGGAATCCGCGAGTCCCCTTCGGCCCCACCTCTTCTAAGTGACGACTCCAGCACGACAAATTCTACTCCCAGAGCAGCCCAAGGCCCCGCATTAATTTCCGGAAAGGGGCATTATGGGATAGGAATGAAATGCTTGCATTCTTCCAGGCGCGGGCGACTTGTCCGCCTCGAGTTGCGCGCGCACTGTAGAGGATCCGGAAGTCCCGCTTCCCACTCCTGGGGTAGGTAACTTGCTGCGGCCTCCCGGGGTCTCTAGTTCTTTGGCTGAGACACATTCAGAGTTGAGACAGTTTAATTCAGAATCTTGCAGCGCCTCGATTTATATGTGGCCTCCTAAGCCATTTCTCAAAGGTCCGGATCAGAGAATTAATATTTACTTCTGCACCATCTTGCAGAAAAAGCAGAGGCTACGTTGGCCTTTCCAGGTCCTGTGCTCCAGGAAAACGGGGAGTTTGTACCTTTTAGACAGCGCCAGAACTTGGGGTGTGGGGGGATGGAGGGGGCGAATGAGGGTTATCGGATTCACACCTGTAACCCAAACCTAGGTGAGCATGATGAAAGCACCTAAAATTCCTCCGTGATCAGAAGTAGCACAGGGAGACTTGTATAGTGCAGAGACATCTCGCAGCGTTATTCCAGTTTCCTGGAGGGGCAGTGCTCCATCCCAGTGCCAGAGTCACCCTATGCCCTAGCTCTGACGGCCTGCTCCTTCCCTACTGAATTGCCTAGATGTGAGGGAAAGAGGGGGAAAAGAACTGGCATAGTAAATTCAGACCCAACCTCTCTTCTAGTTAATATCCCTCTCTGATCTCCCTTCCCATTCTCCCTCTCTTCCCATTCTGCCATCTAAGAACCTTTCTCTTTTGTGGTATAGTAGAAAGATAACTAGAATTATTATAGTCAGAGACCCTAATTTCCATTTTACTCCCTAAAGCTCTTCTACTCCCTTGTGACTTTGGGCAAGCAAGCTTCTTTACCTTCCTGGACATCAGTAACTTCATTTATAAAAAGAGAGTTGAATTAGATGACTTCCAAGGTTCCTTTGAGGTCCTGCTCTAAATCCATGATCCTAGATTCCTTCTGTCGTCTAGTAGTACCTACTAAAAACTTAATTTGCTCTGAAAGACACTGCATTTCATGGTGACTCACCCAAACTGACTTTAGGACTCTATCCATTCTGGCCATATTTATTGCTATGATCTATGGACTTCTAGGTCACTTCCTTACCAGTAAGTTTAGTACCTGGATCATAGTCTCTACCTCAGGCCCCTCCACTGTTTGACTACCTTGACCTCCCCTCAAAATAGAACTGACGTTGAGGTGAAGGAGAAATAATAGCTATGCTTAAATTTGAGACTTAAATGACAGTCAAACACATCTTAACTTAGAAGGCCTAATTCTTTTATATTTGTTTTTTATCAGAAATCATGTTTTAAAAATATCTTTTTTTTAATCTCATTTTCCTGAACAGCCTAAAATGACTGAAGTAAAGCAAGCTGAAGCTCAGCTGTCTGAATTAGACCTGCTCTCTAGTATGTTTCCTGATGAGAATGAATTCATAATACATGATCATCTGGCTTTAGCAGAACTGAAAGATTATGTGGAAATGAGGACCACAGAAGTTCCATCTTCAAAAGTTCACTTTACTATAAATATAAAAGTAGAGATTTCTAATGAATCTATGGTAATTCACTTCATTTTTAAAGGAAATGTAGACATATCAGTTGTTAGTACAAAGTCCTAAAACATTATTGTTCTCTATTTTCAGGTTACATTTTCTTTATCTTGTGCCCTCCCTTTTCAGTATCCTGCAAGCCTGCCTGAAATTACTGTCAGGTATGTTATAGAACATACAATAACATCAAATGTTATAGAAACTCTTTGACAAAAAAATTACATTAAGAACTAAGATAGATTTTTAATATTTGGGAGATTTGGCATGAGAAAATTAAGAAAGATTTTCTCTGCTTATATTTTTCAACAGATCACTTTCATTAAGTAGAGCCCAGCAGGCCCAGCTAAACACAGACCTAACTGCATACCTTCAGAAAGGATACTGTGGGGAAGTTTGTATACTAAATGCAACAGAATGGGTTAAAGAGCATGCATCAACCTATATCAAAAGAGAACCCATGCCTTCCACTACCACCAAGACAAATCCAACTTATTCAACAGATGTCATTTTCACAAGACTTTGGATCTATAGCCATCACATTTACAACAAACAGAAAAGAAAAAATATTATGGAATGGGCAAAGGATCTCTCCCTCTCTGGGTTTAGCATGCCTGGGAAGCCTGGAGTTATTTGTGTTGAAGGTTCACAAAGTACATGCGAAGAATTCTGGGCAAGGTTTGTTTGTTTTTTTCCTCTGCTATACAACTCATGATGCTATATTTGTTATTAAGTAATAATAAATTAAGAATTGATTGCTTTCTGTGTGCCAGGCACTATACTAAACTCTAGAGATCCAAAGACAAAAAATGTAATATTTGTTGTTTTTAAGGAACTTGTATTCTATGGGGGGAGATGGCATGTACATATAAATCCTATATTTACATATAAGTATATATAGAATAAATATAGGGGATATAGGGCATTAGCAGTTGGGGGAATCAGGAAAGTTTTCCTATAGAAGGTAGTGTTTGAGCTGTGTCTTGAAGGAAGTGTGAGATCTTAGGAGGTGAAGGTGAGAAGGAAGTAATTTCAGTTATGGAGGACAACCAGGGCAATGAAATTGGAGATGGAGTTCTGGGTAGAAGGAAAAGAGGAAAGGCTATTTTGGCTAAACTATAGAATGTTGGAAGAAGAATAATGTATAATGAAACAGGAAAGAATGCTTGAAGCCAAATTATGAAAGGTCTTCAACCCGTCAGAGGAATTTATATTTTATCCTAGAGTTAAGAGAACCGCTGGAATTTATTGAACAGGGGAGTGACATAGTCGTATCTGCACTTAAAGAAAATCACTTTTCAGCTATGTGGAGGATAGACTGGAGAGGGGAGATACTCGAGACAAGGACTCCATTTAGGAGACTATTGCAATAATCTAGGTAAAAAGTAATGAGGGCTTGGGGCAGCTAGGTGGTTCAATGGATAGAGCACTGGCCCTGGAGTCAGGAGTACCTGAGTTCAAATCCGGTCTCAGACCAGACACTTGACATTTACTAGCTGTGTGACCCTGGGCAAGTCACTTAACCCCAATTGCCTCGAACAAAAAAAAGTAATGAGGGCCTAAAGTAAGGTGGTGGCTATGTGAGTAGAGAAAAGGAGTCAGATATGAGATCTGTAGAAGCAGAAAATGGTGAGATGTGGTGACTGATCAGATATATGGGATGAGTGAAAATGAGGAGTTGGAGATAATACTAAGATTATGAACCTTGAAGAAAGAATGATGGTGCCTTTAACAAATAGGATCATTTCAAAGAGGATAGAGTTGGAAGAGGGGGTAAAATGATAAGTTCTTTTGGGGATATGACGAATTTGAGATGTGTCTAGGTCGTCCAGTTTGAAATGTTCAGTAGGCAGTTGATATGGGACTAAAGCTCAGGAGGGAAACTTTGGCTGATATATAGATCTGTGAGTCATCTGTATAAGCTGTGAGAACTGATGAGGTCACTAAGAATGTAGAAGGAAAATAAAAGAGATCCCAGGACAGAATCTTGGGTTACACTGATAATTAGAGGTACTGATATGGAAGTTGAACCAAAGAAAAAAAAATTGAGAAGGAAGAGTTAGGTAAGGAAAGAACCAGGAGAGAAGTAGGGTCATGAAAATCCAGAAAGGAGAGTTTCCTGGAGGAGAGATTGATAAACAGTGTCAAATGCAGCAGGAGGGTCAGGAAAGATGAGGACCTAGAAACATAAGGTAAGGCAATTAAGAGGTGATTAGTAACTTTGGAGAGCAGTTTCAGTTGAGTGATAGAATCAGAAGTCTAATTGCAAAATGTGGATGAGTGAGTGAGAAGAGAAGTAGAGGCAATGAGTGCAATGAGCATTTTCTAGGAGGCTGGCTGAGAAAGGGAGGAGGATAATGGTTTGAGGGGCATGGTGGGTATAGTGAAGAGTTGTTTTGCTTGTTTTTTGTTTTTGAAGGATGGCAAGATTTGACCATATCTGAAAGTAGTAGGGAAGGAGTTGATAGGTAGAGAGAGAGACTGTAGATTAGGTAAGGCAGTCTGCTGGAAAATTTGGAGGGGATGGGATTGAGGGCATATTTAGACCTTGGTAAGAAGGCCCACATCATTAGAGAGTGGAGGTTTGGAAAAGAGAATGGAAAGACAAAATCAAAGGGTTTTGAGAAGAAAAGGAGCTCACAGCAAATGGCCTCAATTTTCTTAATAAAGTAAGTGTTAAGGTTCTCAGTTGAGAGGATGAGAAAAGATGTGAGAGGTCTGAAGAGATGCAAAGGTTTGGAATAGCTGTAGGAAATGGGATAAGAAATCAATCAGATAGGCACAAAATGTATGTCATGCTACAGTAAAGGCTTTGTTTAGGTTAGACATTTTAAATTTGTAGTGTACTCAGCATGGTTGTATGATTGTCTCTACCTCTATTCAGCAACACATAAGTAGTTTTGGAGGAGGCAAATGGTGGGAAAAATCCAGGATTATTTTTAGAATTAAGTGGTCACCCACTCATTATGAAAACACTGAGCTAGGAGTACAGATAGATTGTAGTTTAAGCTCTACTGCAAACTTAGCTGTGTAACTTTGATCAAGTTAGCCTTTAGGTCAGCCATGGAATGGAGGTAAAGAAAAAAAATCGCATAAAAATAAAAAAAACTAGCTCTTAGATTAGCCCTTCTTCTAGCATAGTGAGTGACAATAATAATAGTAGGCCTTAGTACCACTTAGCAACAGTAATACCTCAAAGATGCATCATCTGAATGCAAGTTCAGCAAAGGTGGCTACATCTTTGCTTTTTGCTGAGCTCCTGAGGAGCTTCGGCTAATTAGCAGGAAAAAGAAAGAGCAAATCAGCTTGGGACAGCACACTAAGGATAGAAAGATAGATCTCTCTTTTGTACTTTTCTCAGGTGTCCTTGTGTTTTAACTCTTGGTGTACATGTCTTTACTATATCCCATCCCACCTCAACCCTCCTTAGGTTGGAAGCTGCTCACATCTTTCTTTGTATTACTACCATCTTGCATGCATATTTTGGTCTGGATCTGTGATGTCATTAGTGTGGGTAATTTCACCAGTTCAAATCAGCAACTTGATTACCACTTAAAGTCTTAGATACCAAAGGGAATGAGAAGTTAAGTGATTTGCCCATGGTCATAAACTTAATATATGTAGGACCTAAACCAGGTTTTCTTTATTTCAAATATTGTCTTATATCCAGATCTTACATCTACTACACCATGCTCCCTGTTGCCTTGCATGTAGTAACTGCTTAATAAGGTTTGAGGTTATTTTGATAGTGGTTTTACATTGATTTAATCAGTTTTTTATTTTTTTAAATAAATAGATATCCTATGGGTATATCGATTTCTATGGTCTTAGGAGTGTCAGGGCTTACTGTGGGCTACTGGAATAGATATCTGAAGTCTCTTTCTAGGTCTAAAATCCCATCTGAACTCGTAATATTTTTAAAGCCATATACCTACAAAACTGGGAGTGCTGAGAGAATAGTATAAATATTGTTTCCATAGTTATACATATTCACAATCAACTATGACCAGCCATCTATGTGCTGGAAAGACCAATTCAGTATAAAAGACAAGAACCTTCACAGCCCAGCTTCTGTTCTGCCTCCGATACCTTCAGGTCATGAAAAGTGCAATATTTTTATCTTTTTAAATGTCTCTAAGGAGGCTGGCAATAAGTGATAGTGGGTATATTTTAGATTGGTTTCATGGACAGAATCAGAATAACAGAATGTGACCATTGCAAAGGATGTTAGTGCCCATCCAGTCCAACTCGTACCCAGAAAGGAATCACCATTACAAAGATACCAAACAAGTGGTATCCAGCTTCTACCTTTTGAAACAAGTGTAACCTTGGCAACCCTTGACTTCCGAGGCTGCCTGCTGCATTTATGAATAACTTTAATTCTTAGAAGTTTTTCCTGACATCAAGCCTAAATTTGAGTCTTTGAAACTTTTATACATTGTTGCTAGTTCTGCCCTCAGGGACCAAATGGAACAAGTCTGGTAACTTTTCCAGTTGACGGCACTTGAAGACAACCTTCGTGTTGTCTCCTGACTATTCTGTTCTCCAGCGGAAAGCTCTCCAGTTCCTTCAATTGACCTTTTAGGACATAGAACCTTTGACCATCCTGGTTGTTCTCTGAAAACTGTAGCACCCAAATTGAACACAGTACTTCAGAAAGATGTGGTTTGACAAGGACACAATACATAGAAACTGTTACCACTTTATTGCTGGAAGCTGTTGTCCTTTTCAGTGTAGCTCAAGATCATATCAGCTTTTTAATTTTTTTTTTGGACACTGCCTTAGCCAGCCAGAGCCTGCAGCCTATAATTTTCAGAAAAACTGCTATATCCCCCATCTTATACTTATGAAGTTGATTTCTTGAACCCAGGCCAAAGACTAAACATTTATCTCTGGTAGATTTTATCTTATTAAATTAAGCTCAAGACTGCCAGGATTCAGACTGTCTAATTAACATTCAAAGTGTTAGTTGTCCCTTCCAGCTTTCTGTCATCTATAGGTTAGATAAATATGTCATTATGCCTTTAGCTAAATGTCACTGAAGAAATAAATGGTAAACAGCTCAGGGCCAAGCACAGCTCCCTGGCACATGCGTCTGGCTATTTATTTAATTCCATACCCCTCTTGTGCTATCATCTAGCCCATAGCCCTCAATTTTTTTTTCTACAATAATATGTTTTCAAACTATTATTCTAATGATCTAGAATTTTCCAAGTAATCAAAGTCAAGCTTCCAGGCCTCTAGTTTGTTGAATCTAGGCTCTTGTCTTTTTTGAAGTTTAGGACATTTGCACACCCCAGTCTTGAAGTACCTCTCATTCACTACAAGTATTTCATAAGTCACTGACAGTGACTCAGAAATCACTCTGTGGATTATCTGTGGATTCCCAAGGATGTAGTTCATCTTGGCCAGGTGATTTGAATTCCTATATAGGACTGCTAGGTGCTCTCTTACTATCTTGTGTATCAATTCACTGTTATCTATTTGTTTTCTGGCCTTTCCTAACCAAAGATTGTGTCTAGTAAAGTAAAAAAGTACAATAACTGAATCTTCTCCCTTTTGTTAGTTATCATTTATTTCCATTGTATCTGCCATAATCCCTCTCTTTTTCTCAGGATAGCTTAAAAAAATCTTCTTGTTATTAGCTTTCCTGTCAGGTTCAGCTCCTCCAGACCTTGAACATTATTAATTCCATTCTTACAATACCACACTGTACTTATGTATTCATTAGGTTATCTGCTCTCACTTCCATCTTCTGTACATTTCTTGAAAATATGATTGGTTGTTGAGTTCCTCGTGCATCTGATTCAGTCTCTTCAGACAACTTCACTTTCTTCCTCTGATTAGAATTGTTTCTCTTTGTCTCTTCATAATGTCATTCATGAGAGTTTCTGATCCCTCCTCAGCTGAATTCGTCTGTAGAATTTTAGTCCGTGAGATCCTATCTATCTATTGTTTTACTAACTAACCAGTTTAAAATCTGCTTTCCCAGAATCTAAGGTCTATGCCAGATTATGCTTGACTTTCCTTTTCATTATCCTAACAGCTAGTAATTCCCAACTCACCCTGCCTTCAATTTTTGCTATCATTCTACCCCAGCAATCAGTTCCAAAATAGAATTTCTCCTTGTTGGTTTCTTCACCTCTCTGAGAATGAAATTATTAAAGCAGAAAGGAGAAGGGAAAGTGCCTATCATATGCCAGGTTTGATGTTAAGTGCTTTACAAATATTATCTTATTTGATCCTTACAACAGTCCTGAGGTAGGCAGTATTATTATTCCTTTGTGCCAGGCTTGTGATCTGTTTCTCAGACTTCTTTTTGTCCAAATGTTTGGTAGTATACATCAATCATGTAGTTACATAATAACCTATTATTTTTACAGCTTTCATATACTTTGTCTTATTTGATTCTTGAAACAACCCTAAAGGAAAGGTAGGGCAACTATTAATATCCCTATTTTACTGAGGAGGTAACTGAGGCAAAGATTGGTAAGTGACTTGCCTAAGATCATATAGCTAGTAAATGGTAGAATCAGTATTAGAATCAGATCTCCAGAATCCACATCCAGTATTCTTTCCAGCACATTATCCTGTCTCTATAATAATGGGTATTTATACAATATCTCATTTAACATTTTATTTACAATCACCTTGTAAAGTAGCTACTGCAAATATTGCCATCCTTATTTTACAGAATCCTAAGGATCAGAGGTTAAAACTGAAACAAACAAACCAACCCTCATACACAATGGCATAGTACTGAATTTGGAGTCAGAAAACCTAGGTTCTGATTCTGTCTCTTCACTTTGTATAACCAAAGGCAAATCACTTGATTTCTATGGATCTCAGTTTCCTTATCGCTAAAATGAGGGTCTTTTCCCCTATCTAAATCTATAATCATCAGTCCTTATCCTAAGTACAATGATCTTTCCACCACATGCTAATTCATTGAGTATCAACACATTTCTTTGCACTGAAAGATGGGTTGGTAAGTCAACTTCTGCTCTGTATAGCTTTTATTTTTAAAAGTTCCTGAATGTGTTTTACATTTTGGAAAAAAAATTTTTTTTAAATTTCTTTCCAGACTCCGAAGATTAACATGGAAGAGAATTTTAATTCGCCATCGAGAGGACATTACTTTTGATGGCACACAAGATGAACTGCAAAAACAAAGAAAATTTTTTAATTTTGAAGAAAAAGTTTTTGATACAAATGGTAACAGAGGAAATCACATGGATTTGGGTCAGCTTTATCAATTTTTAAGCGCCAGGGGATGTGCTGATGTTTTTCGGATTTACTTCGGCATAGAGGGACAGTAGTTGAATAAAGTATACATAGAAGACTTTTTTTTTTTTTTTTTGCCCAGTCATGGACTTAGTTTCATTCTTGTTACACTTTTTGCTGAGGGACTAATGAGTATTTTAAACTGCAGATTGATACTTTCAGTCAAGAGGGCTACCTGAACAAGGCAAACAGCTCAGCTCCCATAAACCTCCTGCATTAAAAACCTAAAAATAGCACAAGACCCAAGTGATCATGAAATCTACTAAGAGACTACACTACGTGACTTTATCCCACAATTGCACAAAATGGTAACCAGAAGCCCATAGGCAATAGGAAAGCCAGTGTCAGCACAGGCCAACAAGCTAGATGCCTCCTTGATAATCAAAAGAGTTTTGAAAGTAATGTTTTTACTTTATTATAGACTTTTTTTAAGTAGTAGATTTACAGTTTCACATATAATTCTCAAACAAAAAAACAACTAGATGTTGAATTTGCCTTATTAGCATTTCACTTGCATAGTGCTGAAGAACTGAATGAAGGTCACCTTTATATCATGATGAGGAATCAGATAATTTAATGTAGGCATCATGTCACTACTTTATTTAGGATACAGCCCTTATTGCCTACTATATCAGATCAAAACTACACTGCCCTTTTTTCAAGGCCTTCCATAATTCAAGTGGACTAAGCACTGTGGAAAATATGTAATACATTTAAGATATAATTCCACTTTTAAAGCAAGTATAGTCATGTAGGGGAGAAAGATAAGGTAAGTTTATGGAGCTACTAATGAAGCAAGGCAGTTCCAAGATGAGTGATTGCACTCCATAGGACACTGTGTGTATATATATATATATATATATATATATATATACACACACACACACATTCTATAGTTCTATAGGAATCTAGACTATGAAGAAAGAGATGAATGTGGACTCGAGTACTTAGGGAAGTCTTTATGGAGGAAGGAACCTTGGTCCTGAAAAATGGGTGGGATTTCAATAGGCACAATGTAGTGATAATGAACAAAGATAAAAGTTAGATGGAACAGAGAGTTCTTGCTGGGAAATAAGGCAGTTGGATAGCTAAAATGGGCCTAGAGTGACAGCCTAAAAAAAAAAATCCAGACTTCATTCCAGTGGCAGTGGGAATCTGTTAAAGAGTTTTTGGGCAGGGAAGTGACCTGATGTAAAATGCTATTGTTGTCACAATGCATGGTGGGGTCAGGGTAGGTAACAATTGATATAGTACTTTGAAAAAATGATCTCATTTGAGTCCATAGCACCTCTATGTGGTAGCTACTACAGGTATCACATTTATTTTATAGTCGAGAAAACCAGCTCAAACAGAATAAGGAACTTCTCCATGTTCACACAGCTGGTAAATGTCCTAAGTTGTATTTGAACCCCAGTCTTCCTGAGTTCAAATCCAGCAATCTCGATTATGCTTGATTCAGGCAGAGAAACTAATAAGGACACTTCCTGTTATTTAAGCTTAAGTTAATAAGAATAGAAAAAAATCTCTTTTTTTAGTAGAAAACATGCAGAGACATGGGTTAGATGTTGATAAATAGATCTGGAACCAGTCAAATAACCATACTTAAAGAATAGTCGTTAGTGACTCAATGTCAGTTTAGAAGGAATATGCCAGTGTAGACTACCAAGGATCTATCCTTTGGCCTGAGGCAGCTAAGTGGCCCAGTGGATAGAGTGCCAGCCCTGGCAGGAAGACTCATCGAGTTCAAATCTGGCCTCAGCTACTTACTAGCTGTGTGACCCTGGACAAATCAGTTAATACTGTTTGCCTCACTTCCTTATCTGTAAAATGAGCTTGAGAAGGAAATGGCAAGCCATTCCAGTATCTTTGCCAAGAAAATTCCAAAGGGGTCATGAAGACTCAGACATGACTGAAACGACTAAACAAAAATCCTCTGGTCCTGTGCTATTTAATGTTTTTATGATTGACTTGAATAAAGGCTTTAGTCAGTAGTAGCTACTATGTGCCAGGCACTGTGCTAAGCATTGGGAATACAAAAAAAAGTAAAAGTTCTGCTTTCAAGGAACTCACAATCTCATGGAGACAGCTCGCAAACAATTATGTACAATCAAGTGTGTATTTACAAGATAATCGAAGAGGGAGGGCACTAGAACTAAGGGGCCCCTGGAAGGCTTCCTGTAGAAGATAGGATTATAGCTGAGACTTGAAGGTAGGCAGGAGGCATAGAGGATGAAGAGCTTTCCAGACATAGGGGACAGTCACATGCTTATCAAATCTGCAGATGATAAAGCTGAGAAGAAAAGCTAACACTGGATGGCAATCAGAATCTAAAACTATTTTAGTAGGCTAGAGCATTGACCTGAATATTAAGATGAAATTTAATAGAAATAAATGGATTCAAGAAATAAATTTCACAAATACTAGACGGGAATGCAGCCAAATGAAAAAGATTTGGGTGGGTAATGAACTTCAGGTTCCCTGTCAGCAGCCCACTTTGGTAGCCAAAAAAAAGCTAATAAATTCCTGGAATTCATTAAGGAGGTGAAAATTCTGGTCTGTGAACATGTGGAGTACAATGTTCTGTTCTGGCAATTTTAAAAGTAAAAGGACATGATTATTGTCTTTGAGTATTTTTGAACTGCTGTCACACAGAAGAGCAACAGAAGTTGTTTTTCTTGTCTTCAGTAGACAGAACTAGGAGAAATGAGTGGTAATTTCAAAGAGTCAAATTTAGTCTTGATGTCAGGAAAAACTTTCTAATAATTAGCGTGATACATATGTAAGAGAGGCTGTGTTAAATAGCAGATAAAGACGTGGCCTCAGAGCCAGGAAGACCTGGGTTCAAGTCCTATTTCTGATGTATACTGACTCTGCAAACCTGGACTACTAAACTCCTAGTATGTGGACCACTTGTAGAGTTTCAGAGTACTGCCAAACTGCGTTGCCAGAGGGAGCTCCTCATCAAAGAGTTTCATTACAAGTGAAATCACCAGTCCCTATCCCCAAGAAGAATGGGTTGCCTTAAGATGAGAGGATGAGAGCTTTTCAAGTATAGGGAACAATTTTTTTGAAGAGTAACTTTTTTATACTTAATTTTCATTTTATTTTTTCTCAATTACATATAAACAAAAAATTTTGAACATTCATTTTTTAAAATTTTGAATTCCAAATTCTCTCCCTCCCTCTTCGTACCCCTCATTGAGAAGATAAGTAATTTGATATAAATTACACGTGTGCATTCATGCAAAACATTTCCATATTAGCCATGTTGGAAAAGAAAATGCAGACCAAAAAACCCCCAAGAATAATAAAGAAAGTAGAAAACAGATTGCTTCAATCTGCATTCAGACTCCGTCAATTCTTTCTCTGGAAGTGAATAGCATTTTTCTTCATAAGGCCCTCAGAATTGTCTTGGATCGTTATGTTGCTGAGACCAGCTAAGTTATTTATGGTTGGTCATCAAACAATATTACTATTCTTGTGGACAATGTTCTTTCTGCTAATTTCACTTTGCATCAGTTCATGTAAGTCTTCCCAGATTTTTCTGAAAGCATCCGGCTCGTCATTTCTCATAGACAGTAGTAGTCCTTCACAACCATATGCCACAACTTGTTCAGCCATTCCCCAATTGATAGGCATCTATAGGGAACAATTTGAACTAAGGTATAACACTATGACAGTCTAATGTATATGGGGCCTTCAGGTTGACTCGTTTGTTTTCTGAATGTAGAATGCCTTCATTCAACATCTCTCTGCCTTTTGAATGCCTGGTTAACATTTAAATATTACCTTCTTTAATAAATCTTTCCTTGGAAATAACCTGCTCCAGGTCTCATGTAACACTTTATTTTGTAGCATTCTAATGAATTTACCATTTAATATTTATTAAATAGCTTACTGTGTTAATGTCTCCTTGCCCTGCTAAATTATATGCCCCTTGAAGGCAGGGATTATGTGTTATCTGGTCTTTGTATCTTGCTCACATGTAGCACAGTGTTTGGCACCTATTAAGCATTTAATAAATGTTTATTGATTGTTTCATTGATTAATAGTTTGATTAGCAGACAATGATAGCTATATACCTGGCATGGGAATTAGTGACAATTATCTGTAGAAGTCACCAAATTAATTGGTGCTTGGTGTGCATTCCCCAGTTGATGGGCACTCACTTTGTTTCTAGTTCTTTATTCAAACAAAAAATTCTACTACAAATGTTTTTGTACATATGAATCATTTCCTTCTTTCTGGGGGGGTATATACCTCATAGTGGTATCTCCTAGTCAAAGGGTCTAGTAGTGGAAATATTTGCCAGAATCACTTACCATGGAAATTGACTACTATCTTAAAGTCAATGATGACAATGAGAACATAACAAAATTTTTGGGATGTAGCCAAAGCAGTATTTAGGGGAAATTTTATATTTCTAAATGCTTACATGAATTTTTAAAAATAAAGAAAGGGCACATCAATGAGTTGGGCAAGCAGTTTTTAAAAAACTAGAAAAAGAACAAATTAAAAATACCCAATTAAATGCCAAAATCTTGAAAATCAAAGGAGAGATTAATAAAAATTGAAAGTAAAGCCCCCCCCACCCCAGTAAACTAACAAATAAAATACTTAAATGACCCTATTTTAGAAAAAGAAATTCAGCAAACCATAAATGAGCTCCCTAAGAAAAAATCTCAAGGACAAAATGGTTTATACTTAAGGAACAATTAATCCCAATACTATAAAAATTATTTGAAAAAATAGAGAAAGAAGTCTAACTAAATTCTTTTTCACAAATATGGTCTTGATACCTAAGTAACAGAGAAATAAAACTATAGAACAATTTCCCTAATGAATATTGATGCAAAAATTTTAAATAAAATACTAGAAAGGAGATTACAGCAATATATCATAAAGATCATATACTAAGACTAGGTGGGATTTATACTAGGAATGCTTCACTGGTTAACTATTAGGAAATCTATAAGCATAACTGAACACATCAGTAACAAAAACTATAAAAATCAGTGATTATTGAAAAAAAGCTTTTGACAAAATATGACAGCCATTCCTGTTAAAAATACCAGAGAGCATAGAAATCAAAGGAGCCTTTCTTAAAATAAGTAGTATCTACTTTTTTAAATGCAAACTTTTTTTAATGCAATATAGTTTTATTCTATAATTCTCCATGACCCAGCCTAATGTTTCATCATGGGCTTTCACATGCTGTGCCCATATTAAAGTAATAATGGATCTTTTTGAAATATTTATTATTATTCTTAACATACTGGATAGAGAGCTTACTTTGTTATCAGAATCACAAAGATCTGGGTTCAAGTCTCAACTATGAGACATTCTGCTTATATGACTCTAGGGAACTCCTTAACCTTTCAGCAACCTTCCAGGCAAATTTTTTTAAAGCTTTTTATTTAAAGTTTTGAGTTCCAAATTCTGTCCCTTCCTTCCTCCTTCCCTTTGCCACTCCCTGAGATGGTAAGCAATCAGATAGTTGTTATACATGTGCAATTATGTAAAACATTTCCATATTAGTCATTTTGTACAAGAAGACTTAAATAAAAGAAAAAAATGGAAAAAAAAAAAGCAAAAAATAGCATGCTTCAGTCTGTATTCAAACAGTATCAGTTCTTTCTCTGGAGGTGGATAGTGTGGTTCATCGTTAGTCCTTTGGGATTGTCTTGGATCATGGTAATGAGAATAGTTAAGGCATTTGCAATTCTTCATCGAACAAGATTGATGTTACTGTGTACAATGTTCTCCCAGTCCTGTTCACTTCATTATGAATCAGTTCATGTAAATCTTTCCAGATTTTTAAGAAATCATTCTGCTTATCATTTCTTACAGCACAATAATATTTCATTACAATCATATACCACAGCTTGTTTAGCCATTCCCCAATTGATGGGCAAAACTTTGATTTCCAATTCTTTTTTTTTCCAATTTGATTAATTTTTATTGAAGAAAATGAGGAATTCTGAATTCCAGTGCAGACATTCTAGTATTTTAAAATAATAAAAATGGAGATATTACTTTTTGATCATGAAAAGGAATAAGCAACCGCACCTACTATATATCAGGTACTGTGTTAAGTACCTTTTTACAAATATATCATCATCTGATTTCAAATCCTTCAAAGTAGGTACTGTTATTATCCCTATTTTAAAGCTGAGGAAAATGAGTCAAACAGAGGTTAAGTGACTTGCATAGGGTTACACTGCTAGTAAGCATCTGAGACTGCAATTTGAATTCAGGTCATCCTGACTCCAGGCCCAGCACTCTATCCACTGAGCCACCTAGCTTCCTCTGTTCAATTCAAAGAAGACTTTCCTGCACCTAATTAAATAAGAAAAATAGATCTTCTAAACCATTTCAGCTTTAATAGCCTACAACATTGATTAAAAAGATGTGTCAACTTCAGGCTTTTTCATTTTAGGTTGATTGCTACCAAGTACAGAGAGGAACACAGACAAATTGAGACTAGATTCTAAGAAGCAAGTGTACAAAAGGAGTAATTGGAAAGTTGTGAGAATGGGTTAAAAGAGTCAAAGATATGAGCTCTTCCTGAATGAGGTCTCCTAGATGTGGAAAAAAGGTTCTTGGGCCAGAGTCCTTCATGGCTGCCATTGCTTGGTGGTTGGTAATTTAGAGGACTAATTGTGCTTGTTGGGTCATGGTAACCTTGAATCTCTTCTTGGTAATGATATGGTGTCTTGAATACTTGTCATCTGGGGAGAATCTGGCTGAGTGAGGTG